GGTTCCMATTGATTCTAAAAAAAAACAGGTCTAGGTTTAGACTTTATCTCTATTGAAACATAACCTCCTTCAAGAATTCTAATAGGTCTTGGTTGGCTCATTCGTTGATATACTTTGATTACGTTTTCGTCTTTAATATCTTGTATTACTTTATATCCTCGTATTATAGTCTAAAAAAAATTATAAGTTTTGATAATAATAATGAACTGTTTTCATTGCTTCATCAATTTTTTCTTTTTGGAACTTTAAAGTTATATTCATTTCGTTTTCAAAGTCTCTATCCCAATAGTGTTCACGATAAAAATAATCAAAATCATCTTTGTATTTTTCTTTCATTAAATATATCATTTCTTCGTTCAATTCTCGGATCATCTCGATCAAATGAAGAGGCCCAAATGTAGGTTCAAAGTCTTTAATCATCATCTGTAAATTTAAAACAAAGATTTACATTTTTCTTTTTCATTGAATTCTTCGATTTGTTTTAGAATTTGTCTTCCCATTAGACGYTCACATAGTGTGTCTTTTTTACTATATTTAGCTTTTGTTTTTTCTAAACCTATTTCCATTATGTCTGCAGATATAGCAAGAACCAAGTGATTTTTCTTTAGCCCATAGTTTTTAAGCAAATTSATCTAAAAAATGAAAAAAGTTAGTTATTAATTATTTGTCTTTGTTGTTTTTTTTAAGTTCTTTGTAAATTTCTTCTTCTATAAACCATAATGGAAGTCCATAAGGGTGATAATTTTTTTTCTCTACAAATTTTCTAAATAGCTTTCTAAATTCCCAATCTTTGGTTAAAGTTAATGCTACAATATCATCCTCGTTGTCCTTAACTGTCTCGTAAAGTCTTTCACAAATCTTATGTCTTTCGTTATAAAGCCAAAGTGATATTCCAGGATAGTTCTAAAAAAAAGATTAAAAGTCGTCAATGACAAGATCTCTCTGCCCGTCATAGATATCATCTTGGTATTTTTTTCTTTTTTTTTTTTTAGCTGGTGGTAAAGTAGGAATTTCAGTAGAATATTGTTTTTGAACTTCTTGACGATTTTTCTCCTCTGTAGCTCTTTTTGCAGCTTTAACAGCAACTTCAAAGAAAGGATTTGAAATCGTGGAAGAAATGTCGTCTTCACATGTAATCTTACTGAAGTCGACTGTGTTTGGCAAGTAGCGCAGTTTCGATAGGTCATCTGTAACCCATTGAAACGAACCACAAGCTACGTTTGGAGGCTGAGCATCACAAGCAAAAAACGTTTTTCCTTGATTTGGACCTTTCGCTGAAATGGCCACTTTACAGTACAGGTTATGACCTTGGCATTTTGGAAATTCTTTGGGTTTCAAGGCATAGAGACTCTTTTCCATCTGCATGTAGTCTTTGACTCTCATGTTCATTCCACACCCAAAGGTATAGGTGCTTCTAATGGCGTCCTTTTCTTCTTTGGTTTTTGCTTTTTTGATTTCATCGTTTAGTGTYTTGAAATCATTCTTATGGTTACATTTCACCCATTGCTCCTTGTTCTTGTCAGTGTAGATCTGAACCAGTTCTCTGCAAAAGCAAGTCGCTTCTTCGTTTAAATGCTCTCTCCAACGTTGTAATTGCTCTTGTGCCATGGCAAAAAAAAACGAAGAAGTGATTTGCTTGGTCCCAAGAGGAGTGTTTTATACATTTTTTAAGAGGCGGTGCTACATACGACATTGACCGACATATTTCCTTTTATGGTATTTACGAGATCGTTTTCCACCTCTTTGTTTTGGTTTCTTGCCAAGCATTGATGGTCTGCCTAATAGTTTCAATAGTTTTGATATTTTAGGTCCGTTCGGCATGTATGTTCCTCTCGGCCAAGGTGCTGTTAATCCTCCTTTTTGTTTTCCTTTTTTTCCACCTTTCTGTTTTCGTTTTGCCATCCTATCCTTTCAAAGCTTTTTTCACACCTACTCCTACTCCTGCRGCTATAGCTCCTGATGCTGCGGCTTTTCCTGCTCCAATGGCTGCAGCACCTATAGCACTCGCTTTTGCAGCTGCAACTGCTGCAGGAATTAAAGCTAAAAGAGGGAAGATTCCTCCTTTTTGACCTGTAGTCGCTCCTCCTCCTTTTTGACCTGTTAGTCGTCTTAAACCTTTTTTTCCAATATGTTTGACTGAAGACTTTAGTTTATTCCCCAGCGTATTTATTCTGTTTTTGAGTTTATTCGGAACTCCTCTCAGATGTTTGGAAATTCCTGAACCTTTTTGATGCTTCCGTCTTCGTCTTCTTCTTCCCCCTTTTTGTCTTTTCATTTCTTTTTTCTTCTTCTTCTCTTACTTTCACTCTTTCCAATTAGGGCTCCTGTCCCGAGACCTAATAGTAAGGGTAAAAATCCTCCTTTTTGTTTTTTTGCAAATTGCTTGTTAAATGCAGCACCAACTAATTTACGAAATATAGGAAGAAATCCTCCTTTTTGTTTTTTGGTTAAATTAAGCTTCTTGATTTCACGAGCAATTTGACGTAATTTTTGGACCTTCTTTGTCCCACCTCTCTGTTTCATCCTATTCCATCAAATGACCATTTCTCATTTTTACATTCATTTTTAAAACCAAGTTGGTGGCTGGTTGATCGATATTCGTARTTTCTTACGAGATCTGTTTTTTCTTGTKATTATTCCTCCYTTTTGTTTTAAAAGTGAATGTCCTTTTACTTTGTTCTTCACCATATTTTTGATATGTGGTTGAGCAGCTTTGATTTGACCAAGAAGAAATCGYCGAGTGGCTTTGCTTTTGATTTTRGAATTTATCGTTTTTTGTAGTATAGAATTGGTTTTATTTAAAATCTTGCCAGCAGCCCAGTTTCCAAGTTTATTTTTTTTTCTTCCAGCCCATTTCACTAATCCTCTTCCACGTTGTGCATTCGAKCGTGATCTACCCATGATTGAATGCTTTCTTTACAATGCAGTCTCTTTAATGTTAATGTTGTTTACCTGAAGTCTTTTTCGAAGAACTAGATGTACAATGTTTTTCAGTCTTTTCACGATTGTCCTTCGACCGAAGATCGTAAGAACTACAAGAATTGGAACTAGAAGTATTTTCTTCTTCAACAAYAACATTGAAGGAGCCGCGATCACTTTTCACTATTTCTACAGGCTCATAGTTATCGTCAATAGTTGGTCCATAACACGAGCAAGCGCCATCTTCTTCGAATGGATTTTGCCTCGGTCTTTTTCTTGTTAAACATTGAATTATTGTTAAAAGTATTTTCAGAAGTCTTGCGAAGATACCACCTATTCGTGGTGAAATCATCGTTCCGACTGATCTTATTTTTTGGTTGAATATCTATTTATCTATTTCTGCCAATGATGAATAATTTGCGTTTTACGTTATACTCTAATCTATGTCCCAAGATCTCTTCCATACAATCGATTATATTTCCATTTTTTTCAGTTTCTTTTGAAAGTCGTACTTTTTTTATTTTTAAGTCTCTTGCTCTCTCTTKTCGTTTTCTTTCTTGTACTTGCCACATCTCTTCTTTACAATCGACTGTATTTCCATTTTCTATAGTTTCTTTTGAAAGTCGATCTTTTTTTATTTTCAAGTCTTTTGCTTTCTTTTTTTGTTTTCTTTCTTGTTTTTTCCACATGCGGTTGTAAGCTGCCTGGCGAGTTGGGCACTGGTGACGTTCTACAATTTTTCTTGTTATATTTAGAAGGCATTTTTTTTGTTTGTTGGTGATTGTTTCCCACCTTACAATTTGCCTGTTATGTGAGAATCTTTTGTCTAAAATAGCTTTATCCTCGTCTGTCAGGTACTGGTAAAAAGCAGGATGAATACCTTTGTAATCTGCATAGTCATAGACAGGATAGTGATCATAATCATCAGATGGATGAGATGGATCTTTTGTTTCTTCTACTKTGTCRTTTTCGTAATYGACAACAAGACCAAAYCTTGGATTATCCATAATAAACTYTTTAGAGTGATYTTTCCATTTCTTTGARCGATTGTTGTGTTTCCAATCATACTCTAGATGTTCTTTGGCACAATGGCGAACACAAAAGTGATGCTGCCTATCTTTAAGTCCTAGCTCGTCATCTCTTTTGAAAAAACGAGTTATACAATTCCATTGCCAATCATTTCCTACGTCTACATAAGGRCAGCGATTGTGGATAATATCSYYYTTGATGGTTTTCAGTCTCGTCATTTGGCGTGTTTCTGGACAAGACCGTTTATAGCCTAATGCCAGTTCAAGAAGCTGATCTTGCATCCTTTTAGCATTTTTATCTTCTGGTTTGAAAKTGCGCTTTCGTTTCTTCTCGCTTTCTCGAGCTTGATAGCGYTGTTTGAAATAATGATTAAAACTTTCATCCATCCTYCTAGCTCAAAAGMAAACTCGTCAATTACTRAAATYAACGATGCTTTCTTKTTTTATTCTTCTTTTTCACGTCACAAYACGTTTTACAATCATAAGCACATACGCATATTTGGTTCTTGACTCCTATTGGTTTAGGTCCATTTTTCTTTTTCAWKTYATTTTTAACAAAATTAAACACAGTCCTGTCATCATAATCGTCAAARTCCCTTACAAAGTCCTTWACTGTMWTTCCTCCAGTTCTGTAATACAAATAAGCTAAACAATAATGTCCACAGACATGAGTATCCATATTTTGAATTCTYCCCATGTTGACAGGTGATACCATTGCTATAATCTTCCTAACATAAGGATAGAGACGRTAAGATTTCATYAAATTTTTTTTTCCAAATGAATCCATGAGTTCAATTGCTTGAGTTCCTTTTGGAGAATAYAATGCAATCCAATGTTGTCCAGGTTCTGATATTGGATCAATGTTGAAGATCATCCCCCATGCTCGTTGCGCATTTTTTTTCTTTTTCATCTTYGTTAACATTCGGTACGCTTGATCTGAAGCCATAGTTCCRACGTAAGTGTAATCTTTTCGATTATGAAAATTCTCTGGACGTGTCGCTATRGCATTCAATCTGTGTGTATTCAWTTGGATTTTTGGGTTTCGTAAATCCATTACTCTGCTGTTCCGTTCTTCACGGTGACATTCTTGTTTCCATCAATCCATACYTGATTTTCTATRTAGCCCAKAGCACAYAAMGTTGTATTGTTTGCAGTGTTCTGCGAGAAAKTAACATGGATATYGACGATACCGTTGTTTTTATCATAGTCATGATCAAAGTTTTGTTCGCCATCRGGATTGAAGTTGTACAGCAACATGAAATACCCTTCGGGATAGGTCTCTCTTGAAACACCAAGRGGYGGGCTTTCAATACCACGTCCTGTAAATTCCAGCATAGCTTTRAATCCTTCTTCCTTATAATGTTTGWGAAAACTCATTCTTGGAAGAGGGATTTCTTCACCACCACGAGTTACACGAATGTCTGACAAGTTGTGTCTCTGCAAGTTGGTGAATGAATGCTCTAAGTCGCCTTGTAGAGCATCTCCTCTCTGTAKTGTTAAAATCATATAATTTGGGACTTTCCCTGAGAAGAYATTATACCATTCATATTSACGTCTACCATCAGGAATGACTGCAGTTTTGAAAGGTTGGCTCATCACAGGGTATTTAGCAATCATTTGATCTTTCAGCATTTTCGATTCCAGTTCAATGTGTAGCTGTTCATCGATCATAGCGTTCTTGATATTCACYTTAGGACTTCCATCTACTATCATGAACTTCGGAGTCCGTGCWTKMKYGTTTGCTTGASCTTGGTCTGCTTGAAACACCAMTTCAGGACGTGACCAATAAATGGTGAATTCYAATTCACATCCYGGCGGGAGATAACGTTCACTTTTCAATAAAGGAATTTCTGGATGAATTTCAAAGTGAACATCTCTGTTACTACAGCATAGTTTGTGYCTCTTTATTGCTCCTGTATTGCAAGGAAGAAYAACGCTTTGCTTGTCATATAGTGCTTTAACCAAATTTCCAAYAACTYGGTTCAATTCCGCATTAGTTGGACTTCCAGCAGTTCCAACASSACCATTTGCTCCTCCGAATTGATAGSCTGCAGCTAGATGAGGTGCCATGTTTGTTTCATCAATTTTACCTGCATCATCAGGATAGAAACCTTCAATACTTAAGTTGGTATTTTTTTCTTCTATRCCAAATTCCAGCAWGCGTGACAGATATGCTTTGTAGTAATAATAGGTACTACTGCTTTGTTCCACGTTGTTTCCRTTTATGGTCAKAACGATTTGTTGAATCAATGAATGACCAATGTTGTTGAYTGGTGCAGTCATATCGGTTYGGACAAGACGAGCATTGTTAGCTCCCATGAATCGGACATCAAATTCAAGAGATATATCTTTYAATTTGATGAAATGACTTGATGCCTCTACTTTGATTTTCAAAGGGTTCATTCCTTGCTGGCTTTGAGCAAACTTAGTCCARCTACATTTTTTGTTCGCTGTACTGATTGTAGGTTCACTGAATAAATCAAGTTCTGCCTTGGTATGATTGGTTACACGAGTTGGTTCTTTCACTACCATTTCTTTATCTGTAACTTCATCTTCAACTGTGTCATAGGGCTTTTTTCGGGCAGAGCGCCCACCATTCTGTACCTTTGGCATCTTGGAATGAAATGAAGTGATGGCGTTTGTTTTTTGTTTTTTATCTATTTTTTTGATTTTGATCTTGTCCGTGCAGCAATAGCTTCTTCTATTTTCCTTATTGAACTTTGTTTCCCTCTTTCACCGCCAAATGTAWTTGCAGGTGAACGTTTCATTGATTCAAGTGTTTCGAACAAGTCGTTTAAACTTTTTCTTGATTCATCTTGTCCGTGTGACATACGTCCTGGTGGACCCGGTGCTGGTCTATTATAACCACGTCCGCGACCTTTAGATGATATAGGTGAAGGAGAAGGAGGTGTTGGAAATGTATGAGAAGGAGAAGGAGTTTTGCCGTACATATCTTTGATGGTATTTCCAGGTGTTGTTATCTTAGGCGTTCGTTGAGTGGCGGCATCAGCGTATTTTGGTGTTTTTTGTGTTCTTTGAGTTCCAACATTAACATATCTGGGTTTTTTTTGAGTTCCTACATTGACCATACGAGGTAACTGTCTTTTTCTTGTTTTGGAAGTGTCTTCCAAAGCTTCTTTTCTTATTTTTTGATAAGACGATTTGGCTGAAGATAAATAATGGAGTTTTTCAGCATTACTCAAGTTTGGATCGTCTAGAATTTCTTTAATCTTTTTGTCAGCCATCATTAAAAATTGAGCTTTAGGTGATTGCTGTAAATTCATCTGTGTAGCCAACATTTGTAGAAGTTTTTGGGCATCAACTGCACCACTACTATTGACTCCTTCAATAGTTCCTCCAGTTTGTTTCTTTGGAGTAGAGGTAGTAGTAGAGGTAGTAGGTTTTTCTTCGAAAGATTCTTCTTCATTGTTTTTTTTCAATACTCGTTCCCATAATGATTTAGGTACTAAATATGCGATCTCTTGATTACTTGACGTCATGATCTTATAATGACGAACTGTGAAGTTTTCGTCCTTTTGTATACAGCTGGGTTGTTTTACCATTAATTATTACTTCGTTTGCATGAAGATCCAAAGAATAATGATCTTGTTGACGACGGCGCGATTTCTGTAGTTTCATTCTAGATATTTTGCTCAATTTGCTTGGGACTTTAGGAAATGGATTTGAAAAAGCAATATGAAAAGGATGGCGTRTCGTTCGATATTGAGGTACAACACGATCTACGCGCCCTTTTAAAACATTTTTTCTTTTTGGCTGGTACTGTCGTCGTCGTCGTCGTCGTTGTTTAGCCATTGTTTTTAAAATGGTCAACAAGCTCATCCACAGAGTACTCTGATACTGATCTTTCTTTCTTTGGGTTTGTCTTTTTATTCYTTTTTTTCTTTGTTTTCTTCGGAGCTGCYACTTTGTTTATTAATGCTTCRGAGCCTTTTTGAATTCCTTCTTGAACAGCTCTCTGCGCTAATCGTTTCCCTGCCGTTTTTGCTCCCGATTTAAGAGCAGGTATAGCAGCCTTGGCCACTGCTTTCAAAGCTGATCCAATCAATTCTGCTGCAGCACCACCACGCTGTGTTACAGAACGATGAAATGCATTGACATCTTTATGYCGGTGTTTTGCTACTCCTTTAAACCAACGTTTTGTTTCACTTGGTAATTTTAAATTTTTAAATTCTCCTTGCATTGCTTGACGSGCTAATTGCTGAAGTGATTCCCATTCTGATTGTTTTGCTCTTCGAAGCGTGGGRACGACTTGAGTAGGCGGAGCATGAGCTAAATGACGAATAAAATGAAGTGATTTGTTCATCATGAACTTAAAACTGATTCAAATTTTTTATTCGTATCACTTTTTATTACGAATTAGACGAAAGAACATCTATCATGAGTGACTGGATAGACGATATTGCCGTCAATATGGACTTCGAAGAAATGTTGARAAGAGATTTGCCTGARCCTTCATCTTCAAATATAAATCAAGTGGTGAACACATTRGGYGAAAAAAATGGCAATGTCGTTGTTGAAGAAGAAGGCCAACAAGCTAAGCCATCAGTAACCGARGRCCAACAAGCTAAACCATCARTAACCGAAGYCATTKCTTCAATGATTCCTTCTCCTTCTTCTCCTSCATTGARTCCAATCAGCCCTTTWGCATCTCCAGGCGACTCCTCAAGCAATATCATATCATCATCTGAAGTTCCTCAAGTCTTATCATCTGACGTTGACCTAGAAGTTCTAATGAGAACACTTCCTCTACCAGAAGCTCAAGTGATGTCCATGTATGCCAGAGAACGTGCAATGTACAAAAAAAATCTAGACATGTTCAGRCAAATATACAAAACCAAAACAGGGAAAAGAAATATGCCTGCAGTCTTTGTGAGAAGTGCTAAACTATTAGCCGAAACCATGAAAAACCCCTGGAATCAAGAATTCATGCAGCAGTTGCTCAACAATGATAATATACAAGATTTGAAAGATCTGCTGAATGAAGTGAAAGAGGAGATGCAGTACAGAGACGGTTTTACCAAAGCAGGATACAAAAACGCACAAAGTTTAGTGGAGACAATTGAAACTCGTATTGCAGAACTTGACAGCTGGGTCTCGTATAAGACGCGTTCTCGACAGCAAAGCGGTTTAGATCAGCAAGACGATGGGCAGACCAACATTGAATACAATACTATGGCTAATAGTGCTGGTGGAGTACACGGCAATAGCGGGCCTAGCAGCATACCGCCATCCTCAGGAAGCCAAGCGAATAGCACTTTTGGCAGTATCGGTGATGGCAACGATGATAGTGATTCTGTGGTCTCTGGTGAAGATGGAGCTTTTGGCACCTCGGGACCTTCCAGACGAAAGAACGCAGACCAGGACTCGGTATCGAAAGCCTTAAAAACAAAGCTAAAAGACGGAGACTATCAGACGATTGCAAAGACCACCACGGTCACTACAGTWAGAAAAGGAAAAAGACCTCGAGTTGAACGAAGTCACCAAAGCTCTTCCATTCCTTTCAACAATTCCACTACTGAAACTCCTACTGCGTCGGGACCACCAGCTCCAAAAAGAAAACGAAAAAGTAACGCTCCAAAAACACAAGATCGACGAAGAGCTCGTAAAGGACCTACGGCTACTACTACAACTTAAAAAAAAAACATGAACGCTCAATCAAGTCAAAATATTGTTAAATGGAAGCACCCATCAAACATATGGATTGCTGGACCTACTCAATGTGGAAAGACTGAATTTACTGTAAAAATGATCCGACATCGAAAACATCTTTTTACTGTTAATCCTGAAATCGTGGTATTTTGTTATGAAACCTGGCAGCCGGCTTACGACACTATCAAGAAAGAAAATGGATCTAATGTTACATGGATTCAAGGATTACCAGATGATCCCTTTAAACATTTCAAACCATTTAGGCGCGCTGGATTGTTGATCCTCGACGATGCTATGGCCGAAGTGGGTGAAAAAGCTAAAAAAGTGATCAACTGGTTTACTAAAGGATCTCATCACAAAAACATTAGTATAGCTATTTTACTGCAGAACATTTTTCCGGAAAAACTCCGAACCATCTCAGTTAACGCTCATATTATTGTAATATTTAGAAATCCTAGAGATAGAAAACAAACTCAACAGTTTGTAAATCAAGTATTTCCTTATCAAGCTGAACGAGTTCAAAACGCTTTAGCCTATGCCTTTCAAATCACCTATCGACCGTTGATCTTAAATCTTCATCAAAATGTACCTGAAGACCTGGCTATGAGTGTGGATCTGTTTCCAGAAGATTTGAAAGCCTCAGGCCAACCGTTTACTCAAATACTGTTACCTCAAGATTTTAATTACACTAACACATAAACAGATTTTGAACTAATAAAAAACATTTTATTCTACCATATATATTGTTGTCTACATTTTTTTAATCAAACAGAGAGTCTATCAYTGTCTTTGTAGCTTTTTTAGAAGGTCTTTTAGCCAGCTTTTGTTTGTTCCTGAATTTACGCGAGTTCTTGCCCAGATTTTTTTGTAACTTTCGTTGTAAATCGATACGCGCTCTTGTCCCTTCATCAGCTAAGGCTTGTTTCATGTCTTTTCCTTCTATAGTATCAATCATAGCATTTTGAAGAGCTTCTGATCCTCGGCTGAGAGCTGCTTTGGCTATCGCTTGTCCTGTTTTTTTTCCATACGTTAAAAATTTATCTCTGCTTTTTCKTATRAATCCYCCACCATCTTGATKTTTKTGAGGACGGTAGATGGGTAGAGTTCCACCTTTTTGGGAAAATCCATAGCGTCCAAGTCGAATTCGTCTTGACACATATGGCGATAAGAGTACTCCTCTTCCTCCATTTTGATCKTCAGGTCTGTACACGTCCATATTTAGAATGTCAACTGAAAAAGTCTCTCTTTGTTCTATCTTTTTATTAACCTTACACTGATAGTCGTTACCTCATYGGTATCAAAATTAATAGGTTGATCGTCTTCATCTTTGACTTCAAACGTGATATGATGAAGGTTGGCTGTTCTYAATGGCTGCCAGTTCAAAGTATGAGGAGCATGTACATACTGTTTAGGYTGTCCAGCATGACCTTGTGTTTGAGCTGCTGTAGACATWGGGATAATGTCTAAGAGAGAAAGGYTTTTATTTCCAATACGCTGAAATTCCACTATATCACAAAGTACATGRGCCAACTTGTTGACACTRTCTACAGTTGATGTTCGYCTGATTTCAATMAGRCCAGATTTCGGRTCAGCTTGAGGAACTTTTGTGATTTCTTGATCGACAGTTAAGAATTCAGGGATATATYTGGTTTGGAACTGTAGCATCCCTCGTTGACTTTTTCCTGTRTAAGCATTTGGAAAAGCTGTTTTTGTAGATAACACCGTGTCATAGTAAGGATAACCGTCACGATAGGTCACTTTCAAGTTTGAAGAATCCAAACCCAGGATCTCATAGAAACCTTGTGGAAGGGACAATGTCATTTCATGATCAGCAGGCTTGGACGATACCAGTGATGTTCGTAAAAATCGMTKCCATACTACTTTACCCAATTTCGAATCATAATATGCATGYATATGAATATACACTCCTCTCAAAAAAGCTT